CTCAATCCATTTCATTTTAAAAAATATTTTCCTTCTCAGAGCGCATAGGAGAGGTCATGGATCACCGCGAAAACTCAAACGAGTTCAGCCGCGGCCGCTTCCGGACAGACTCCACCCTTTCGTTGCGAGCTCCGCCTACTTTCCAGACTTCCGGAGCTTGCGCGAATTCCTTCGGCGAACAAATTCAGCAGTTTTCCGGGGCCTTCTCAGTCTGTATCCAATATCGAGTCGAGAATCCACGAAAACCCTGAAATCCCCGTCCCGCAGAATCTGTAAAGCGAATTCTCCGAAACGATGATTGGTTGGGTACGCACGGATGAGCCGGACGAACGTCACGCGAAGAAAGGACCCGGCCGTCCACAACATTTTCGAAGTAATTTTTTCGCTTGGCAAGCAACTTCTGGCGCGCGAGTTGGGCAAAGTATACAGTTGGGGCCCCGCTACTGCTAGGCATCAAAATCTCATCGAACCCATCTTGGATGAAGCGTGCCTTTAAAGATAATAGATCATGAGGAGATATATTTTTAGCGATGCCATGTCCAGAGCTGCCTCCTCGTTGCCAAATTCGTCTGGTATGGGGCCTATTCGAGATGTATCGCCTCCGGTCAGTTTTCATGAATTCTTATTTACCCCTGCCATAGAAATGAATTGCAGATCATCGGTACATCAGGTTACGTGGAATATCAAGGGTCTGCTTATGATGAAGGCGAAATGGTCAGTGTAGAGACATGGTTCAGTTTTTTATCACATGTTGGTAGAAATCTAGATTGTGGCCGATGAAGACAGCGAAGGAACAATTACCTACTTTCTTGAAGATGAGCAAAATCCTGGAGGTTTATTGGAAGTGGTGCACTCTGAACGAGTTCGTAAGTGTTTGATTGCTGCAATAAATTCTACATGCATTTTTCCAATAATAATTGTTCTTACGTATATCATACGGTGAGGAACTTGTACGAAGCTTTTTTTTTCAGATGCAGACACCGGTCCCCCATTAGCATCAAAGGTAACACCTTTACTCATGGAACCCCAGCCAACTGGAAATGTTAGCTTTGATGAGACAATGAGTGACATCAGAAGAAGAATAACTGTAAGTCTCTTTTTAACTTGTGGAACTGACTAGGGAAGTGACGATTTGAAATGAGATGCATAGTATTAGATATGTCTTGTCGAGCTGGTTCCAAATCTTAGTCCACTGTTGTGCTTGCTCTCGCACACTTTCAAAAACTTTGTAATGGAAGAG